TTATTCAAACTAAAGTTACTTTTAACATAAGGCTTTGATTCAGCAGGTACTTGAGAGATTTACAGTGAACTTCAAGTCAACTTAGGCAATTATTGTGCACCTACTATATGTATAAATTGAACAGAACTGAGAATTGACAGTAATTTAGTTCATTCTTATCAACAAATTACCCTGAGGTGTAGATTTCTGGAATGTAGGGTAGCGTCAGATACAGTTCCGATTTTTATAAACACTAGTTTAGGAGTTGTACTTAACTCTGTTTTATCAGAGTTATCAGCTGATTACAAATCACCTTACATTCTCCAAAAATGAAAAGTGCAATGTAATAACTGCACTAATAAATGTAAAATATTTTTACAGTACATTAATAAATATTTTTAATATATGTAATCATTCCAAAGAACATCAGAAATGTGTTAGAACATTATGAATATGGAAGCATACAGTTAAGTGGCTTATAAATATGAAAAGATATATATACAGATATGCATACAAATATTCAGCTATTTTTGATGTTCAAAGTTAGTATCACATACATATATAAACAGCTTATATATCTGTACACAAAACTATGTCAATCTGATCTAACAATTTCTGGAAAATCTTGCTACCCTTTTAACCAGACTAACCTGTCTCAGAATACAAAGTTTTAAACAAGTAACTCTCAGAATCACTCCATTTCATTTGGTATTAAGGTCATCTTCACTTATGTTTACCTGTAACACTTCTGAAAGTAACTAACAGGACATTTCTTTTGAATTAGCCTAAAACTTATCCTTAATTTAAAATTTCCAAAAGCCAGAGGCTTCATTTTATGGGAGCTCATATCTTTAGGACATGCAAGAAAATGGAAAGTGCCTATATTCTACTGAAACCAGAGGTATATATTTGCTTGCAACCAGAGAATGAAGTACCAAAACCATTACCAAAATGAACTTATTTCATCAGTATATTAAAATACTTCAGAAGACACTTCTTAAAAATTGATACTTGGTGAAACCACACAATTCTACAGTATCCACAACTGCCTGCCTTAGTTTACCAGAAAGAGCCAATCTAGTTTTCTAGTTTGATTCAACTTTGAAACTACAAAGCCAGCCACATTTGCTTGTATCATCTTTTGCCTTTCAACATAGGGAATATCAACGTAAGGCCACAGGGGGATATCTGTTTATTTTTTTCACGGAGAATCACTAACGTCAAAACCAGATTCAGGTGCTCTAATTTAGGTATGTTAAAAAAAGCACAATATTTAAGCAGCTTTAACTCAAGGTCTACAAAAACATTTCAACAGTTATTCTTCTGCAACTATGAAATTTAACATGGTTGAGCTAATACCAGGGTAACTTCACCAAAAACATCCTGTAATTGTTTTTTTAAAGTCACACGCAGATCACCACACTAGAGGAAGCTGAAAATTTGCAATACGGTATAGTTTATCTGATGTACCTACTCTCTGTTGTAGTTGCAAAGGCTGTAGTTTATGACCTACACAGCTGATTGCCCTGTTCTCTCTGCTCATATCTGACTCCTATCTTACTCCATTAACTACTCAGTTACACATCTGAAACCTTGCTTTTCAGGACCTAATTCTGTTTTCAAACCTTTAGTATAATAGGACCATTCAAATTTATGCTAAATATTGTACTATAAACAAAAAAGTTGTCTCTAGGATAACTCCTCATTCTTTAACAATTAAACTTAAGCAGTTCTGATGTTTAATAGTATTCTTCAAAGGCATACTCACTGACTAGGTAAAACAGTCCTTCACAACATGGGTTATCTACAAAGAAGTTCCCTATATTTATTCATAGGTCTATGGCTCTAACTCAGCTGAGTAGATTAGTTAGAGGCCTTGATGAAAAGTTATTATTCATCTTTAATTTCTTCGATTTTGTTTTTCCTGCTAGTGAAAAATCAGACTAATATTGCTAGAAAAACGATAGAGCTCTGGTTGTCTCATAGCTAAAGCTAGTCATCAATTCTTTTTTATGTCCTTCGAATTGGATATTTTGGATTCAAAGCTGGTTACTTCAGCCTCTGTCTTTTCCTTCCCTAAAACCAGAAGGCTACCTTTGGTTGTTTACACTCTGTGGCCACCTTCCTTCTACCTGCCTCTTTTGGTCTAGTAATGGTCTCTGTATGACTGACTCAACGGTGGCTGTGTAATGTGTATTAAATAAAAGGAAAGAATTCGTCAATTCTCTTTTCCTAAACATCATTTTGGCTCCCCCTTTTCCTCTATCAATATTATATTATTCTTGTATTAGACAAGGTTACTTAAAAGTAAATGTTAAAAATTAAACTCATTTTTCATTCAATTGACTACGTACAATTAATCTTCAGACAGTAACAAAATTCAGGAAAGAATTAAGTCAGAAAGGATAATTTTTTCTCTCTGCGGTAAAGAAAGCTTTATCAAATCATACTACACACGCCCCCAGAAGGCCATAAAGTGAAAAGATTTTGGGTGATCTGTCCGTTTCAAACTCTAAATAGATTTTAGTATTTTAAGTAGCAATCACATTTACTGGAACGTGTTATCACTCAGATTTTCTTGTCTGAATCAAGAATTCTAGCTCCTCTCCCTCTTCTTCTCCTTCAGTGGGAATTGTTTTATCTCTGACATTTTTTTAGTTTTTCTTTCTCTTCTTTGAAAAGAATCACCTTATTTTTGAAGTTGTTTTAAATTAGGGTCAATAACTACTAACCATTTAAGTACCAATTTGTGGGTATCCACAACATACCAGGCACTGAATGTTATATTTGTCTTAATTCTTAACCACTTGGCAAGATGGGCAGTATTACTCTCTCTTTACAGATGATAAAGTTGACGCTCAAAGAAATCAAATAACCTGCCCAAGCACTGTACTAGGAAAGGACTCTACTAGGAAGTATCAGAACCAGGTATCCAACCTACCGTTGTCCAACTTGAAAGCCCATGCTCTTTCCACTCCACTATCCCTCCACACAAACCTTTCTTATCTTCTTAGCTGACAGCTAAGTGTCTTAGACTTGATAATTTTTTAAGAGGCACTAAGTCTATCAAACTATACCATAGCTAGTTTGAAATAATACACTCTTCCCAGTGGTTTTTTTTTTTTTTTTTTTGCAGTAGCGGGCCTCTCACTGTTGTGGCCTCTCCCATTGTGGAGCACAGGCTCCAGACATGCAGGCTCAACGGCCATGGCTCACGGGCCCAGCCGCTCCGCGGCATGTGGGATCTTCCCGGACCGCGGCATGTGGGATCTTCCCGGACTGGGGCACGAACCCGTGTCCCCTGCATCGGCAGGCGGATTCTCAACCACTGCGCCACCAGGGAAACCCTTCCCAGTGTTTTTTATGCCTTATTTGATATTTAATCACCTTTAAAAAAGCTACAGTGTTTTTTGGTAAATGAGAAATTTCTAACAGTGACAACACTTGAATCAGCTACTCACATCAGATACAAGTCTTTCACGCAGAATCCTTGACTGAGAAATTTAGCTTTTCTCCTAAACTGCCACAGAAGCAGTAATAATGAAAACAACAACAACAATAACATCATCTTGTATCATTTACTGAATACTTAATGAGTCTGACATTTCCAGCGGAACTATTTATTGAGGAATCTTAAGTGATATCTAGGATTAGCAATATACAAAAGCTGTGTCTAGCTTTGTGTGGGGGAGTGTCTGCCTGTCTAAGAAAGAATGTCAAATTAAACCTATCTCTTCCACTAATTTGTGTGTGTAGGTACAACCCAAACTGATTTATTTAAGAGACAGATTTAATACCACTTTTCCTGGTATTAATCAAACTAGACTTAAAAGCGCTGATTAAATCATTATAGTCTCCCAGTTAAGGGGACAAAGGCAAAGTTAACATAATGAGAAAACAAGAAATATCATCTCCTGTTTCTGTAAACTGAGAAGATGTGAAGAGAAGGTGTCGAGTTTCCCAGGTGGATCTCCATCCAGCTCCTCACCTTCCCTTCTAGCTCAATTTGAAGAGTCAAGCAGCCTTACTTATCTTGCCTCTACTTTACAAATACACACTCTCAAGACGTCCCTGCTATAGAGCTTTTTTTTTTTGGAAGTGGGACGCATCCTAGCCTTGCCATGGTTGAGCAAGAGTTAAACTAAAGATGTTATCTCGCTGATAACACTAACAGGGTTAAGAAGAAAGGGACTCATTTGTGCCCTCACTGCTATCCCAAATGTATCTCATCCTGACCTTTTTTGGGTCCTCCTTCCCCAGGACACAGCTCAGCCCTGTGGGTGCTCCGTGTTTCCAACCCTATGAGTCAGTCGCCTTAGGCTAGACCTTCTTTCTTACAAGTAATGTGATAAGAGCATGAAAATCTGCTCTTAGGAGAGAGAATTCATCTTTCAATCATTTGCAATCTTATTGCACTTGTCCCACTTTTTTTTTTTTTTTTAAGAATAATCACCTCAGGTATGTTGCTTAAAAATATTTCCTCTCATTAAACATGAGGCAATTGTGGAGAAAAGAAGGGCATTTAGGTTATCAAGAGTTTATTTAAAATGTGGGGAAAAAAAGTTTAAATATTCTAATGAGTGCTTTCTAAATTCTTGTATTTAGAACATCACTAGGAAATTCAAACCTTAAAGACAGTCAATGAGTTAACCAAAAACAAAGCAAAACAAGAAGCCCAAAACCCTGGTGACCTATTCTCCCACCCCCTTTCCGATTATCAAAGATAATCAGTTTTACTCTCTTACTTTTGCTGGATATTGAAGTCACAAAAGCATTCTCCAAAGTAAACATTTTTTAAAATGTAAAACAAGTATTCTACAAAAAATGAAGCTAACCATGTCAGTTAACTATCCAACGGACGATTCTTTATAGTACCATATTAAAGTCACGAATGTCAAGGGGTCTTTCCAAAACAGAAGAAAAAAGTTACAACCCTGCATTTTCAGAATTATAATACTTGACAGATTCAAACATGAAACAAACAAGACTTTTTGATAGACTCTTAAATACATACTACTTACATGACACCTTGTAGAACTTTCTGGGGATCAGGGTCAAATAGCCTGTCAACATAGTGGCGACTGCTAGCTGTTACTTCCTAGAAAGTGGGGGGAAAAATTATGACATCTGAAGCCGTGCAAATCACAAATTCACAGTATCACCCATAACATCAAACAGCTATATAATCTAACTTACGGTAGAAGCATTAGAATTTTTATAAATACTTATTATATTAAATCTATCTGAGAAAATCTTGTGACAACATAAAACATAAGATGGGGAAGAAAGAGATACCCGGTTCTCACTAAAAACATAACTAGACAGTGGGACCTTTGCAGTGAGCCCTGCAAGCTCTGCCGATGGAAGAACTGGGCGTTAAGTATTGAGAAGCAAGCTAAGTTTCTTAATTAACTGTTGGATGTCACCTACACACGAAAAAACATGGGAATGTTGCTTCTGTTTATACCCACTAAAGGGAGGGAAAATCTGATTCTCAGCAAGGAAAAAAGGGTAAGGACTTCATGAACAGTTTATGAAGGGCAGTCTTGGTGCAAGAGGAAGACTCTCAGAGTGATGCAGAGGAGAGCTATACAGCTAGGAAGCAGACATATGCAAAAAATAAAAACGAATATAAAGGAGTTGTCACACTTTCTGTGAGGGAAAAAAAATTAAGAATTAGGATGATTTATCAGGTCCAAAAGAGCTACCCAGTCTGAACTGGCTAAAGCTGGGCAGACGAGGGAGAGCTAGAATATGAAGAGCAGGGGAGACACTTACCTCCTTTTATTTGTATTTTGGGGTTTGCACTATTATGTTATTTCTTGTAATACTTATTTGGGGGGCATACTTATTTTTTATATTTAATTTTCAATACTTAACATTATTTAAAACAAAGAACATGTTTAAGAACCAGAAAAAAAGAATTTTTGTCCCTTGCTGTTTCTTCCTGATGCCTGCTGGAATATGCTGCTCATGTACTATGACCCATTAGCAATAAATTATTATAGAGAGGAAGAAATACTTTTCCAGTTTACCCAGAACCCCTGATCAGAAAAGAGTTAACTGCTAAGACACAGTGCCAGCTTAAAATTCTGAATCTCCAAAAATAACTCTGGAAAAAATTCTATAAACTCAAATTTCCTGACAATATAGCTAATCCAAAATCAAAGTGTATTTTCACATTATGAGCTTGCAACCAAAATACCCTTGTAGGCAACTCAAGTACCCACTTTTAATACATACTCCATTTCTAAAGAACAAACTGGCAGCAAATAAGCCAAACTGATGAAAATTCTTGTGCCTAATAGGGTACCATTAAGTACTTGCTAACGGGGTCTGGTTTCCTCAAAATAACAGAATCACAGAGTTAGAAGGACTCTTAATTATCTCTCTCAATCCCCTGGTTAACAAATGAGGGCTGATCTTTACCCAGATGTCAGACTGTCAAATGTTAAGTAGGGATGCAAACAACTGTACAAATATATCAAGAAACAATATACACAAGAGCAAAATCCAGGGTAAAACAGAAAACAGTATTCCTATAATACAAACAGATATGTCTTCTCACTCCATTTGAGCACATGTGCTTTCCTGACTTTCCAACATGGTAAGTTCTGAGAACTTCAGACTCTTAGACTCCCTCCTATGTAAGGAAAGATTTTTTTTTTTTTTTTTTTATAAATTTATTTATTTATTTTTGGCTGCGTTGGGTCTTTGTTGCTGTGCACGGGCTTTCTCTAGTGTGGTGAGCGGGGGCTACTCTTCGTTGCGGTGTGTGGGCTTCTCATTGTGGTGGCTTCTCGTTGCGGAGCACGGGCTCTAGGCATGTGGGCTTCAGTAGTTGCAGTGCATGGGCTCAGTTGTTGTGGCTTGTGGGCTCAGTAGTTGCGGCTCACAGGCTCTAGAGCGCAGGCTCAGTAGTTGTGGTGCACGGGCTTGCTCCACAGCATGTGGGATCTTCCTGGACTAGGGCTCGAACCTGTGTCTCCTGCATTGGCAGGCAGAATCTTAACCACTGCGCCACCAGGGAAGCCCAAAAGATTTTGATTTTACTGTTTCTCTCCACACACTCTCCCACAGCTCTACATCTCTTGCCTCTCAATGTGGTTTTTAAAAAGGTACTTGGGTTTAAGACCTTATTTTAAACAACATAAATTTCTCCCATTAAAAGCAACTCTATTGCTCTATGCCTGGTTCATTCAATTTAACAAGCACTGCGTACCTACTATACGCAAGGCACTGAGGAAGGCATTAAAGGCCAAAAAAAAAGTAAGGCATGGTCCCTCCCCTCAAGAATTCATATTCTATTGTAACTGTGTTTACATGTTTATATTCCCTACTAGAATATAAAACAGAAGAATACATAGTGAAGATTTCTTAGAGGAGTTGGTTTTGGAAAATGAATAAGAGTGCATGAGAACAGACAAGGAAAGAATCAGGGTCACAACCACAGCCATAAGGCATGCGAAGCCAACACACAAATACCATCAGCAAGTATACCAGTTGCTGGCACTGAAAAAGAAGGGAGGAAGGTAGAAAGGCAACCACAGAATATAAAACACAAAAGGCTAATCAATGGGCAGCCAATAATTGAAGTGTTCAGATTGCCTTTTGGTCAAAGTTCTATGCTAGGTGCCAAAGAAAATACAAGAGGATGTGAAGGCAGAACAGTGCACTTAAGGAGCTTACATCTATAAAGGGGTCAGTCCTATGTACAAAAAATGATCCTCTGAGCTGCCTAGGTAGCAGCAAGCTGAGAGGATATAGTCACTTGTTCAATCTGATTTTACTCTTATGTTTTTGCTTAACAAATTTACTTAGTTGTTTGTATGGGACACTTCTCATATTTCACTGCTTTCCTTTGTAGATCAGTCTCTCCCCTTTCAGCCCTCTTCTCTCGTCTTTCAAAAGGCAGCCTGAAATATAAGACTTTGAGAGAGAAGGCAATTGGTGCAGATATTAAATAAGTTGGTCAGAGATAATTTCTTTAAAAGGTGACACTTGAGCAAAGACCTGAAAAAGGTCAAGGAGTAAGTCATGCAGCTACCTGGGAGCAAAGCTTTTTAAGCAAAGAGAACAACAAATGCAAAGGCTCTGAAATGTTAAGTGTCTGCTGGGATCAAAGAACAGGAGGTCATTACAGCTGGAGCAGAATGAGCAAAGGAGAAAACAGTAGGAGATGAGGTCAGAGAAGAGTGGCCAGATGGTAAAGAGCTGCGGTGTCCAATATGATAGCCACTAGTCTCATATGGCTGTTGGGCATCTGAAATGTGCCTACAAACTGAATTTAAAATTTTTAAACTTTAATTAAAATTAAAATTTAAAAACTAATACTGGATTCTGTTATTAGAAAACTTCTAAGAATGTTGTGAATTATTTAAGTATGTAAATTTACTTTCAACTGTAAATTTCATGAAACCTAAATACTGATCAAGTATTTCCAATCAAAATACAAATCAAGTATTTCCAACCAAAATTTGGTATCAAAATTGTGTAAAATACACATCAGATTTTTGAAGACTTGATACAAAAAAGTAAAACAATTTCATTGATAATTCATTACACTCATTACATGTTGAAATAATATTTGGATATACTGGTTTAAATTAGATATATTGAAATTAATTTCATGTTTTCTTTTTACTTGTATAGCATGGTTGCTGGAAATTTTTAATTACATATGTGGTTGGCATTATTTTTCCACTGGACAACACTGGTATAGACCCTTGTTGGTCATTGTAAGGATTTTTATTTTTATGGTGTGAGTTGGGAAGCCATTAGAGAGTTTTGAGAAAGTAGAGACATGAACTGACTTGTTTTAAAAGGACTGCTCTGGTTGCAACTTTAGAAACAGACAAATGTGTGGAGGGGGCTAGGGAACAAAGCAGGGAGACTAGGGAGGAGGCTATTCAATAATTAGAAATGCTGTCACTTCAGAGAGATGATGGAAGCCTGGACTAGGGCAAGAGTTCTGGAGGTAGTAAGAGTCACTCAGATTCCTGATAAATGTTAAAGCTGAAATGACTATCAAACTGGATATGCTGTCAGAGTAGATGTGGAGTGTGAAAGAACAGAGGAGCCAAGGATTACACTTAAAGTTTTTGCCTGAGCACCTAGAAAGTCAGACTGAATTGTCAGTTAATGAGATGAGGAAGACTGTGGGAGATGCAGGTTTGAGCGAGAAGATCAAAAGTTCAGTTTCGGACATGTTAGGACTGAGAATTTTATTAGCCACCCAAGTGAGAATGTCAAGTTAGCAGTTGAATATGTCTAGAGTTTAGAAGAGTGTTGTGGGTGGGAGATACAAATTAGGGAGTTGACAAGATTATACACAGGATAAGTTCACTTAGGGAATAACCATGATAAGGCAAGGCCTGAAGACTGAACTCTGGAGCATCTGAACAAGCAGCCAGTATGGTGGGAGGAAATCTGAGAAGCCAGATAGGGTAAGGTTTCAAGGAGGGAGTAATCAAATATGCCAAATGCTACGGATGTGTAGCATAAGATAATAACTAAGACCTGACCATTAGACTTAGGAACATGGAGGTCATCAGTGATCTTGACAACAACAGTGTGGGCAGAGTGGTGGGGTCAAAGCCTGCTTGGCAAGGGTTTAAGAGAGAATGGGAAAAGAGGAATTAGAGAAAGTACACACAGACAGCTCTTTCAAGGAGTTTCACTGTAAAGGGGAGTGAAGAAAGAGAGTAAGAGCTAGAGGGACAAGCGAAGTCAGGAGAGCTTTTTTTTTTTTTTTTAAAGCCGGAATAAATTAAAGCATACTTATTGATCGACGGAAATTTTTGTTTTGTTTTGATAAAGAAAAACATGCTGCACTGGGGTAGGGGGAGAACTTCTGGAACAACGTTCATAATAATTGAGAGGGAAGTGGATTTACTGACCAAGTAGAACATGTAAAGTACAACAGTCAGAGGCAATAAATTAGGTGGATACGGTGATGAGAGCTTGTGGACATTCTCTCTGATTATCTCTATTTTCTGAAAGTTAAAATTGTGGGGTTGGGTGCAAGACTGAAGAACAGAAGGAATAAAACACAGCATGGGCCAGAAAATATACCAGGACTGCCAGGCAGCACTAACC